TTGTGAAGTTGGAAACTGTTACTTAAGTAAACCGGTTGGACTGAACTTTGACTTGGTGACATGACTGATCTGATGTGAGCTTATCTATACTACTCATACCACTAGGTTTTGATCTTGCATTTCATCAAAAGCTTGTGATTACTTTTAGAATAGTGGCTTCCATTTTAATATGTAACTTGGATTTTGATGGTCGAGGGTTGTCACTGTTGGATTTATTAGAATTATATTAGGTACCAGAATTTGCTTGAGGTTTCGGTTTGAGTTTTTGTTCAGGTTTTGTTTCCACTTGAGGGTTGTTCTTATATTGAGATTGTGGTCATTTTCAAACTGATTCATTTGCTGCTATTGTTGAGTATGTGATTTTTGTTCTGAAAAAGCTCTGATGTTGCTGCATCATTGGTGGTGATTCTAGCCCGTGGTTATTTTTTCTCTGTGGCCCGGATGCAAGTTAATTGAACGTATCAGGCTGATATGTTTTGAGAAGGTGGTGAGCATGGAGGTTGGTTGGTTTGATGAGCCTGAAAACTCTAGCGGTGTTATAGGTGCAAGGCTCTCGGCAGATGCTGCTTCCGTGCATGCGCTTGTTAGTGATGCACTAGGACTGTTGGTTTAGAATTTGGCTACTGCATTGGCTGGTTTGATTATTGCTTTCGTTGCTAGCTGGAAGCTTGCGTTGATTATTCTTGTCTTGATTCCTTTCATTGGACTCAATGGTTATGTTCAAATGAAATTCATGAAGGGATTCAGTGGTGATGCAAAGGTGACATTGCAAAACCTTAACAAAATTTTCTATCAAAATTTTAGATATAACTGTCTTATTATCTGTCATAACATAAAGAAATAAGAAACTAGCTTATTTTATTAATGTGAATTGGATTGGTGCAGATGATGTACGAGGAGGCTAGTCAAGTTGCAAATGATGCAGTTGAAAGTATAAGAACTGTGGCATCTTTCTGTGCTGAAGATAAGGTTATGGAATTATATAGAAAGAAATGTGAAGGTCCCATGAAAACAGGAATAAAGCAAGGGATAATCAGTGGAACAGGTTTTGGAGTTTCATTTTTCTTATTGTTTTGTGTCTATGCAACAAGTTTCTACGCAGGAGCTAGACTTGCAATAGTATGTAATTTTATTTGACATGTGCGTGTATGGATTTTTATACAAAATCCATTTGCATGAATGTGGGGGATAAAATTTGTAGAAAAAGGTATGAATCAATAACATATATTATCTCTGTCTGCTGCAGGTAGGAAATGCTTTAACCGACGACTTCCATGATCAATTGGGAATTTTCCAGTTTATGTGGACAACGGGTATGATTTCGGATCAAACATTCAAGTTGTTGAACATACTATGTGATTTTCAGTCAGTCGAACACACGTCACATTCATGTGAAAAAATCTTGGATATTGCTAATAGAGAAATGGGTAATATAGACCCGTACAGTATCTTTACCCCTTCTTTCCATGCTAATGATAATCATCTGGTTAAAAGAAAGCATGTAAGTCTACCTATCTTGCTTCTACTATTGTTTTACTCATACTTTTTTCATTTTTATCTTTCCTTTAAGGGTCCTAATATTGCTGGCTGTTGAAGATTTTCTTGTCTGTCATGGTGCAATGCATGTTTTCAATAACACATGGTTCTATATAGAGAATTAGAATAGAATATTGTACCATCATGTTTTCTTACTTAATCATTTCATCCTTACATGCCTCATGCTTGAGGGATTGCATGCACTAACACTTGTGAACCTGTATGTGGCCTAGTGGGTCTAACCTACAAGGGTTAGTGCTGCCTCTGAATTTGTTTTTCTTTATGATAATTGTTTTACCCACGTTCATTGACGGGATTAACCAACCATACTCTTTACAGGTTGCAGAAATCCTTAAAGATTGGCCCTCGTGGTATCGTGATTGTCGAGCTGTGGATGTTCTGAATGTGCTCCCCATAGCAAATGGTGGAACCATTGAGCTGCTTTACATGCAGGTAAAGCAACTCAAATTCAGTGTCTATGAATGGTGACTTTGTAACATAACATACTGTGGATATCTTATTTGCATTTTTTTTTCATGATCAGCTATATGCGCCAACCACATTAGCTCCTGCACGAGACTTATGGTTGTTGCGCTACACATCTGTTTTAGAAGATGGAAGCCTAATGGTAAGTCAATGTAAAGAACCTTTAATATTTCTATTTGATTCGATGGTGTAGTAAAAAACAGATATCTCTTATGTGCAATGCCCAGTTCTATTATTTTAGATATGTGAGAGGTCTCTTAAAAACACACAGAATTTCATTATGGTGATGATTTATATTTGTTTATAGCTAATGAAGACAAGGAATTTCAACTACCAGAATTTCCACAATTTCACATGTTATCAATCTGTGATCCTAAAAAATTGTCTTTTGAAATTGTTCTGTCTAGAAACACAAATAGAAGTGGTCCAAGATCTCTGGTAATTATACATTTCTTCAAGTTTTTCGTTCTATTTATTTCAATAGCGCAAAGTTCTGGTTAAATTCCAGACCTGGTATCCTACTGAAGAACATTAATTTAGCATCTCTGACGATCTTAGTGGCAGTAGTTCTGGAAGTTCGAGCCTTGTTGATTATTCAATAGTACAAAATAGTGATTACAGCTCATCTAAAATCAAAGCCGTCCTTGAAGTTCTGCAGTCAAGTTGCAGATTGAAGGCTAATTCTAGAAACAGATATTCACCGCCTTCTGATGATTCCGATATTGAAGATTTTGATTCAGATGTCAAGGTTACAAAAGTCACAAGAAATTATTCAGAGTGCACAACTGGTGGACCGCTAAAGGCTATAACTTTTTCTCAATGGATTACCATGTTGGACTTAGTTGAGACATCAATGCAACAGTCTGGCATAAAATACATGAGACTTGATGGTAGGATGACTCTGACTGCGAGGGATAGAGCTGTTAAGGATTTCAATATAGATTCTGAGGTTTGGCCCTTATCTAACGTGTGTTTCAAATGCTTAAACCTAGGTTTTCTTTAGTGGCTGGACTAACTTGGATGTTTTTTTTCTTCAGATTACTGTTATGCTGATGTCTCTAAAAGCAGGAAACCTTGGTTTGAATATGGTTGCTGCATGTCATGTTATTCTTTTGGATCTTTGGTGGAATCTAACTATTGAAGATCAAGCTATTGATTGAGCTCATAGAATTGGACAGATTCGTCCCGTTACTGTGACACGGATCACCATAAAAGATACAGTTGAAGATAGAATACTGTCTCTTCAGGTTTAATATCTATCATTTGAATTTTATTTCATGTGCTAAAATGAGGTTATACTTGGTATACAATTGAGGTGAGTTGTGACTTTAGAATTATTTTCTTGTTCACCTGTATTGTGCAGGATGAAAAAAGGAAAATGGTGGCATATGCTTTTGGTGAAGACCATGTTGGAGGTTCTGGAACCCGGCTTACAGTTGACGATCTTAAATATCTTTTCATGGTATAGATTCCTGTTGACTATAGTATGTATGGTGACGGTCTTCAAGTTTTGTTTTCGATGGCTCCGCGTGAAGTTATGAAGGTGTATGGCTGTTTTTTGTTGGTTGCTGACATTTGTTGATCAAGTTAGCTGGTGAGGCCTGATTAACTGATGTAGTAACTTATATGTTTTGAAAGCCCACAAGGGCAATTTTGTCCTCCCAACTGCTATATAGCTTTAAGCTGTAAATAGGGTAGTTAAGTATATGGTTTATGATGATATTTACCTTTGGTGTCAACTCATGTAAACAAAGTGAGGCTCTACACCAGCTCATAATTTAGCAATGGAATTTAGTCTCTTAATATGCAATGCAAATTTGGTTAGGTGTTAATTCACTTAGTTGATGATTGTAGGTTATGTATTAATGAACTACTAATTTATATGCTATTTAGTTTAAAATGAAAAGTCAGGAGTTAGTGTCAACTTATGGAATAGGTTCATGTTAGTTATGCAACTAGATTTGAATGTGCAATGGTAATCCAAATGATTTGTCACTGTCGGTTAACATGTTGTGCTATTATAATGTGGAAGGTGAGATTGATTCATTCTATATCAATTGGTTTAGTGTAATGTGGTTATGGAATAGGTGTCATGTGTGAATCCTAATTGTATATATATATATATATATATATATATATATATATATATATATATATATATATATATATATATATATATATATATATATATATATATATATATATATATATATATATATATATATATATATATATATATATATATATATATATATATATATATATATATATATATATATATATATATATATATGTGTGTGTGTGTGTGTGTGTGTGTGTGTGTGCGTGTGTGTGTGTGTGTGTGTGTGTGTGTGTGTGTGTATTGGTTTATGTTGAATGGTTTTTTTGCCTTGTTGCTGCATGTTTAATTTAGATGGAGCATTCTGCAGCAGTATGGGACTTTGGAGCAGCAACTGAAATTACAAAGGATCAGAATGGAATAGGTCAAATTGTGTTTCAGACTCCACAAGGCGCTTCGGAGTTTGATTGCTAAATATTGGTACAATTTGACTTTAGCCTCGGTTAGACCAAAGCTAAATATTTTGTTGACTTATAAAGTTTGAACTTAGCCTCGAAAATGTCGAGGCAAAATGTTCCTTTAGCCTCGACCAGGACCAAGGCTAAATAGCACGTGAGCTTATGGAGTTTGACTTTAGCCTCGGTCAGGCCCAGGCTATTTTTTGTTTTTTGATACGGCTTCACCGAGGCTAAAGTAGACACGGCTAAACCGAGGCTAAATTTAGCCACGGCTCTTCTTGTCGATGCTAAAAGTTAGCTTCGATCGTTTTAGCCTATCCCCGACACCGACGCTAGGCCGAGGCTAATTGGCTGGTAGCGGCGGTTTTTGGCCTTATAGTGTCGGAAAATGGTCGAGGCTAAATCCAGCATTTCTAGTAGTGCAAGGTGACCCTATCTCCCCCCTTCTCTTTGATTTAACCATGGAGTACTTCCATAGACTCCTACACCAGTTAAGCAAGGTTCCTGACTACAATTTCCATGCAAAATGCAAAAAGCTGCAAATTATCGACATCAGTTTTGCGGATGATGTTCTCCTATTTACCCGTGGGGATGGCAAGTCTATACAACTGCTTATGGATCAGCTGCAAACGTTCTCGCAGTCCACTGGTTTAGTGGTTAACCCTGCAAAGTGTAGGGTGAACTTCGGGGGAGAGGAAAATGAGACCAAAAATAATATCTTGGCTACTACTTCGTTTATGGAAGGGGATTTACCTGGGGGTTCCTCTCACCAGTAAAAGACTTTCAACGCAGCACTACATGAGTTTGGTGGACAGAATTGTTAACCGGATTCGTCATTGGAGCTCCAAATTATTGAGCTATGCAGACAGACTCCAGCTGATCAATAGTACCGTAACTGTTATAGCAGCATACTGGATGAATTGTCTCCCTTTCCCCAAGCATGTGATTAAAACCATTAATTCCATTTGCAGGACTTTTCTATGGACAGGTAGCGAGGAGAAGTCGAGGAAATCCCCAATTGCGTGGAAGATGGTTTGTAAGCCTCGAAGGAAGGGCGGTCTGAATGTGTTGGACTTATCAGAGTGGAACACGGCTTGTTTAACAAAATTGTTATGGAACCTTTGCAACAAGAAGGACTTTCTTTGGGTGAAATGGATCCACACATTTTATTTCAAGACAACTGATATTTTGCAGGTCAAGGAAAAACACAGTATGTCTTGGATTTTCAAAGCTATTCTTAGATATAGAACCATCATAATTGGCATGGAAGATTGGAATGAAATGAAGGAGAAATACTTTGTGGGAAAAGTGTACCAGCTCCTCAAGAAAGATGAACTTGATGTTGAATGGAAGCACATGTTCTCCAACTCTATTGCTAGACCAAGGGCCCTTTTTGCTATGTGGATCGCTTGCCACAGTAGACTTGCGACAAGGAGACGACTCAAAAAACTTGGCCTTACAACCGATGATAGTTGTAAATTCTGCAACAAGGAGGAAACAATTGACCATCTCTTATTCGATTGTCCGCCGCTCAAAAACTGTTGGCAGCAAATTCTAGCATGTTTGTGGTTTCAACATTTCCCTTGTGAATGGCGTGAAGAGCTTGAGTGGTTAATCACACAATGTAAAGGGAAAGGCTGGAGGAAGTGCATATTGCGTAGTGTTGTAGCGGAGACCACCTATGAATTGTGGAAGTATCGTAACAATATCGTCTTTGGCAATACTGTGAATTTGGAGATTAGAGATTTAGTCATTTCTACCCTTGCAAATAGAGGGTGGGCTAATACTAGGATGAGCCATCATATAGCTACACTTCTTATAGAATAGTTGTGGTTTTTTTAGTGCTTTGTGGTTGGGTTTCTTTATACCCTTGTATATACTCTTCTTTTGGGTTATATAAATCTTTATTCAAAAAAAAAAAATGTAGCTCAACAGATATTAACTTAATTAAATGAACAATGAAAAATTATTGAATGTAGCTCAACATATATTAATTGAATTAAATGAATGTAAATTGATATCAATACTTTAATGAGAAAATGAATGATGTGTTGGTAGTGTAAATTATTTCTATACGGTCAATCAATAATCAATAATAATTATATATCCCGCCAAATCAGTTTGTAAATTTTAAATTATTTATATGATTTGTCACTTTAAATTATTTTAATTGGATGTATATATAATATCACAGTGCCATTAAACTCTAATTCAATATTTATCAACATCACATTTTTAAATTAAATTAATTATTGATATTTATTAACTAATTAACAAATTTAAAAAAGTTATTGAATATTTTTATAAAATAAAAATATTTAGAGTGTGTTTGGGAGTTAATTTTTGGAGGGTTTGAGTGAAAAAGGCTTAGAAGAATTGCCTCTATATTATTTTATATGCTAATTTACAAAACATACCAAAAACATTTAATGGGCTTTAAAGCTATTGCAACAAAAACAGTTAGCAGAATCAAAAAAATTTAAGAGAAAAGAAATTAGGGCAACCTACTAGAATTATTTTATTGGTAAACTCTACCAACCATATACCAAATGCTACCAACAATTATCTTGAAATTGCAAAGGTAGTCTATTTAATTTTTAAAACAATTGTAATATCTATAATGCCTAATTTAACTCAAAATTTTATATTAAATTTTCTATATAAGTTGTCTATATAGAAATCCTTCACCACATACTTCTCTTCATTGTTTTCTCATTTCTCTTCCACTATCACATAATGCATTCCCAACATTTTCTCACCTTCTTCTTCTTCCTTCTCCTCTCTTTCAACACCATCACTTCTACAACATCATCATCACAAAACGACAACACTTTCGATTTCGCTCGTCCTATAGATCACGAGCAGTTAGGGTTAAACAAGAAGGAAAAGCTAAGTCATTTTAGATTCTACTGGCATGACATAGTGAGTGGAAAAAATCCAACTTCAGTTACAGTTGTTCCACCACCATTAAACTCAACCACTGGTTTTGGTTTTGTCAACATGATCGATAATCCTTTAACAACAGGACCAGAATTGAGTTCCAAACTTGTTGGAAAAGCTCAAGGCTTCTATGCATCTGCTTCACAGAATGATTTTGGTTTCCTCATGGCTATGAATTTTGCTTTACTTGAAGGAAAGTATAATGGAAGTAGTATTACTATTTTGGGGAGGAATCTTGTTTTGGATAAGGTTAGAGAGATGGCTGTTGTTGGTGGGAGTGGACTTCTCAAATTCGCAAGAGGGTATGCTAAAGCTAATACTCATTGGCTTGATCTCAAATCTAGAGATGCTACTGTTGAGTACAATATTTATGTTTTTCACTATTGAGTTGTTAATTATTGCTGTTGTAATATTTAAGCAAGAAAAGAGAATAAGAATGAGAAAGATAAATATAAAGGCTAGAGTGTATTAAAAGAAGAATATATAAGAAATAAAGTTGATGTGATGTTTTATTATATCAAGAGAAATGTAAGATAATGGTTATCATATAGTTTGTTTAGGCATAATAATTTGCGATCTATTGGACGAACAGAAAACTTAGATCAAAACCATAATTTAAAACAGAAACTTAGATCAAAACCATTTTTAAAAAAAACCTTAGATAAAAACCATAATTTAAAATAGAAACTTAATTAATAGAATTTAATGAAAACCCATTTTTAAAATTAAAATTAAAGTCAATTTTAAAAACTTAACATTAAAACTAAATTTAATAATTCTTAAATGTAATTATTAATATATTGAATTAACCTTTTTTTCCTCTTTTCTAATTCAAATTCAAATTCTTATAAATATTAACTTCTAACATTGAAAATAAATTAAAACTTGACGTAAATAAAAATTTTAACTTTTAGAAAATTTAAAACTCTTTTAGAACTTTACTAATTTTTCTAACTCTAACTTTTCTTTTAAAAAAACAAAAAACTAACTTTTACTTTTAAAAAAAAAAATCATTTTTTAAATAAATTAATACTAACATTATTTTGACACTAGACTTAAATTTATTTTCAATTACTTATAAACCCTTTCATTTTAATTTCTAACCTAAAAAAATCTTAAAATAAAGGTCTTAACATCCCCGATTAAATTTCCGCTTCAATTTTCATGTCATTCCTAACATTGTCTTCTTATTTGTACTTAGTTACTAATTTCATATCTTGCCGTATTTCATTTTTCATGGTTGTAATTATGCGAGGACATCGTCGCTTTCAATTCCGTCATTATTTTTTTGCATTTTTTATGGTTGTAATTTGTGCGAGTATATCGTCGTTGTGCATGTTCGTTACTGCTTTCTCACTTTCTCGTATTTTATTGCCGTTTATTTAGTTTGCATTATTTACCGTTAAAACCTCCGAAAGATTAGGTCCAGCAGTTTGACCGCCAAGTCAATAGCCCTAACCTTTGACCATTTCAAAACCCTAATTGTCTAGGTGTCCCGCCGTGGACGAAAATACCCTTTACCCTAGCATTAGATCAAGGAGTCGTCGCATTCCGCTTTAGGGTTTCTCGCCGTGGAATGTTTAGTTTAACCCTAATTTCAATTCATTTTCAATGTAGAAATAGGAGTCGTCGCACTTCACGTAAGCGCTTTCCTTAAGAAACGCTTACTCCCCATTGAAACCTTGACCATAGTCAGGAAGTTTCTAACCTCCCTCTCGAGGGGAACTACGATTACTCTGATCTCATCCCCTACCCAGGATACGTAGGCACAAGATGCGAATCTTGGCGAGTAAACTTAGGAATAACCCTTAGGTTTTTATTCTCACCTTCTAACCCTTAGCAATATACCCTCAAGCAGATAATCAAGCAAAATAGTAAACTTTAAACAAAAGGTTCTTGTAGAGTACTACAAAAGTTTAGGGTGCTAATACCTTCCATAAGCTTAACCAATCCCTCACCTAGATCTCTCCCCGCATTGTTTACGATGCAAAAATTAGGTTTTCCTTCTTTTGACATTTTCCTTCGGATAAATCAAAGATCGGTTGTGAACTAAAGATGTGATTCAAATTAATTAATAATTTGATATCCTATTCTCACCGCAACAACACTTTTCTCTTCTTCTTCTTCAGCATCTTCTTCTTCTTTGCCTTCTTCACCCTCAGTGCATCCTTGACAGCACTCGACCCAAATGGTTGGACATCCTCAGTGACTGTTGATGGTGTTGAACTGTGGTGATGGTTTTGTTCTCAACAGTGACTTCTGTTGAGATAATGCTCTTAGCCTTCTCAGATGAAGTACTCTTGTTGCTATAGGAAGTTAAGAAGAATAGGTTGAAGATAGGGAAATTCAGTATATGAAAGTGTACATTTATAAAAGAGGTTGAATATGAAAATGATTACTTCTAATGGTTGATATTCTTGAATGACGTGTGACCATCTTGAGAATGAAAAAAACTTTCAATCATCATAGTCGTTTCTCTCTTTTGGAAAGAGCAAAGCTTGTTCTTGTTTTTTTATCAGAATTCAAATTTCATGGTGATATCTCAAATTTCATGCGCCTATATAATTTTTTATTTTTTAATTAAACGTTTTTTAATTTATTACCACGATTTTCTAAAATAACCATGGTGAAAAGTCCAATCATTGCATCACGGTTTTTCTTGTCAACCGTGATGAAAAGTGATATTTTTTAATATATGAGTTAAAGTATATGCCATTGAGTACATAACAGTTGTTTCTCTCAAAAGAAAATCCTAACATATTTCACTCTTCTCTCTCATAGCATACCTCTAACATACATGTCACTCTTATTTTTTCAGATTCGTCTTCACCACCTTAACAAAGCGCATACTTTGGCTATGGTACATATTTTTTGTCTTGCAATGAAAAAATACAATAAGTATGAAGTTATTGTGTAAACTTCATTCACCTTGTACTTCTTTTTCATAGCATCATAAACTAGATGAATTTCATAATTTGTTCCAGTTCCACGATTAGATTCAAAAAAGGGTGTTCTTGAAATATTTTACTATATCTTGTGTTGTTGTATGCTGTTGTTGTATGATGTTGTTGTTGATTAATGTTCTCAGAACTTCATAATTTGTGGTTGTTGTTGTTGTTGTTTATATCTTGCGTTCTTGAACCTTATTTTTTTATTTTGTTGTATGTTGTTGTGTTTTTGATAAATGTTATTGTACGTTGTTGTTATTGATTAATGCTTTTAGAACAAGAACAAAACATTGTTAAGTCACAAGAAAGAGGCTTCTTGTAACTTAGCAATGTTTTGTTCTTTAAATTCTTATGTAAGTTGCTGAGTAGATAAAGTTGAGTTTATTGTATGTTATGTAGATTGTTTGTTTCACAAACTATTCATTAAAAATACATTTCATTTAAATTGACATAGAAAATATATCTACATTTATTGATCCTTGCATGAGAATGACTTGTGATCTCCCATTCAAGATGAGATCACACCATTCATTGTCATTCATTTTGATTCCTCCTTATTTTTATACATGTTTTCCTTATTTATCTTTATTGTCATTCTTTGTAATTAAGCTATTCTTTATTCTAGTACAATTTCCTAGTACATGTTTGTATATTTAAAGAAATGAGATCAATGAGAATAAAATATTGGGGTGGTCAAGTTACCATACCAAAATTATCCCAACTTAGTAGATCTACAAGCACACTTGTTGACTTTTGAAAGCAGGTTACAATTTAATTTTTTAATCGTTTTGATAAAACCTACACAAGCATGAATCAAAATTCAAAAATGGAAAACAAGGAACATCAAGTGTATTCATAGATTCAATTTATCACAAATTAATTCTATGAATGGTACTTTGATAGCAATGCTAGCAATCAACAATCATGTGACTCATCACACATATAAACTAGAAAAGTTCAATGATAATAATGGAAAGATTTCTTTGTTAGTAAGTAATGGTGAAAATAATTAAGATTGTTGTCTTTGGTTCATCAAAAATGAACAATCTAAATATACATGATGTCTTATATGTACCTTTTATCACCAAACATTTTTTGAGTATTTCCAAACTAACTACCAACAACAACATATTTGTTGAATTTGATACAAAATGTTGTCTTATGGAGAACACACTGATAGGGAAGGCACTTTTAAATGAGAAACTTAAAAGATGGTTTATGTCAACTATGAAATGATCATTGTAGTAAGAATAAAGATCCATGCATCTACTTGTCTGTCAAAGAAAGCCATCATAGGAAACTTCTACATCCAAACAATAAAGTTCTAGAGAAAGTTATGAAAAACTACAATGTGAAAGATATCACACAATGACAACTTCACATTTTGTGAAGCATATCAACTAGAAAAATTTCACGTGTTACCATTCAAATCATCTTGGTATCTGTTGGAAATAAAGTCTTTTGTGTTTAAGGGAAGTGTGTGGAAATGTTAGAGGCTTAAAGAGAAATTTGATAGGTAGGAGAATTTTTTATGAAAGAGAGAACTTTGTATTTTTGCTTGATACAAAAATGTAGGATTACATCTCTATTTATAGTACTATAAGAAGAACTCTAGACACATTAATTCTAGAGAGTTCTCAACACTAAAAATTTCAAGAGTATTCTATAAAATATTGCAACCCTAAAAAATATCTAGACACTCCAAACACTACAAGAGTTTTCTAGAAACATTATCCAAAATTACCTAAGCCCAAAATAACTAAACCCAAAAATCCAAAACACAAATAATAAGGTTAGACGAAAACCAAGTTTAATATTTCAACATCCCCCTTTAAACTTGATTTATGACTCCAAGCATACTTCTTAGCTTCACGAGTGTTTCCAGCTTGAGTGGCTTGGTGAAAATTTCGACTTGATCTCGAGACATCACATACTTCAACTTCACCTCCTTCTTCTCGATGCATTCTCTTATGAAGTGGTAGCGGGTGTCTACCTGTTTACTTCTTTCATGAAATGTGGGATTCTTTGCCAAAGCAAGTACCGATTTATCGTCAACACATATTTCTGTAGGATCTTTTTGTGGCATTTTAACTCTTTCAACAAGTTCCTTAGTTAAATTGCACGACAAACACATGATGTGGTGGCGACATATTCGTCTTCATAAGTTGAGAGTGTGATGATAGGTTGCTTCTTTGACATCCAAGTGAAAGCAGTATCTCCCATAAAGAACACAAAACCAGTAGTTCTCTTTCTATCATCCAAGTCTCTACTACAATCGCTATCACTATAGCCAACAATCTCATAATTGTTAGAAGAGTAATAGTGCAAGCCAAAATATATTGTACCTTTGATGTATCGAAGGATTCTCTTTATTTCCTTGAAGTGAGTTGTTGTTGGAGCTTCCATGTAGCGACTTACGACTCTTACATCATAGAGAAT